CCATATGCTACAGTATATGGCACAGAGCAAGGAGCTCCCCTTCTCTATGTCATACACTGTAGCGCACATGATAGAAAATCTGCTATCATATGACAATTCACAGAAGCAAACTTTCAACATGTGCTGTTATCATATATGACATCCGATCGGAATGATTCAAATGCCCACACAAAACTTATTTCATAAGCTAGCTAATGAGATAAGTTTGGACATGATCTAATAGTCTAATCAAAATTTAAACACCTAGGTGCAAAAACTACCTTTATCTAAGAATTTGGTGCACCCCAATGTTCAAATCTCAAACCTAGTCTCATTATATTACTATAGGCCTAGAACCAAGTCTAAAAGAATCTTATACACCTGATCGATTACAATTCATATCATTCATATACACAAATCAAAGTATGGCCACTTATTGCCCACTTTGCACAATAGGTAAATTTCACAACTTAATACAAAAACACTTGTTTGGCTATATTTATTACAAGTTCACAACAAATTCACACGTTTCTACATTCACAACATATTCACAACTAAATCTTAGCCCATGTTACTCATTTCACTACATATTCACATGTACAAGCTAAGATTTACTAAATCACTACAAATCACAGCTTAATTCATGCATATGTCATTCTATGGCAACTTTTCATCTATAATTATGCAAAAGAGTGATGTTTATTACACAAAACTTGAAAATCCCATGGCAATAGCACAATTATGCCTGTCTTGAACATTTTCCTATGCCCAACTCACTATTATAACCTGTAAAAATTATAACCATAGGGTGAGATAATTATTTATCTCAGTAACAAAATAACTCAATACTATTAATTATCATAAGTAACTACAAACAAGTATAACATAATATATAATTGAAGATAGTAATTAACATAAGATTCACTTCATCAAATCATATTTCACCACTAATCCCCACTTTTATAAGTGTGATCACTACTATCCAAATCTTCAAATTACCTCGACAGAAACCATAATCTTGCATTAGGCCAATACGCACATCGATTGACCCTGAGCACACCTTTAATGATAGAATTACTTAGCTAAAGATATTCTATCACACTTTCAAACTATGGTTTTCCTAATCACACACAATGGGGGTGTTGTTGACTCTAACACCGCATTGCAATGATACCAAGGAGTCTAAATCTCCAACACCACATCCTATATGTGCACTAAAGAGATAATCTCCAATATCGCATCTCAATAAACACTAAGGAGATAAAATTATCTAACACTGTACCTCATTAAACACTAAGAAGAATAATGCCATATAGACTTCTCATTATTTCTCCCTATGGGTAAACTCTCACCCCCAATGATTATGCTTTCATATAAAATCACATATTCGCACATCGAATCATATTTATGTATGCAAAACCACATAACCATGCATTTTATTAACTCATGTCTGTAGAAATCAAATTCATGCATTAAACATTTACTTAGAAAATATGCACACTCTAAAACATTTTCATACATTAATATTCATACTTTCAAATAGTTATAATAGACAATCAAATAAAAAAAGTTATTCAGTTACCTTAACTCTTCTGTCACAAGAAAGGTTACTCATGGATTTCAATAACCACTAACGCATCTCTACTAGCTTCTTTTCTTACTCTACATGTGAAATATGCCAATTCACACATAATTGGTATAATTAGTCAATTAATAAAATTAACCAAAAATACTTAATTATTGTTTAAAGCTACATTTAGCCGTCCATTCCTTTTTCCTTAGCCAATTTAGGTCCATCACTACTCAATTGTCACTTTTTATCACTTTTAGCAATCTCATTTCACTTCTACTCTATTTCCACTCTTTTTATCACCGATTTAGGGCTAAATTTAAGTTTATAGCTTTAAAACTTTATCGTTCAACCTAAACTACTCACAAAGCCTTAATTTAACTCCTGAGAACCTTTTCATTATTATAGGATAAGAAACCAACCCCTTAAATTTTTTTGATTCAATTTCTTTATAATTAATACAAAGAAAAATTATAGTAGAATTGAAACTAAAAGCTATACGAGACTTACCTAATAAGCTACCAGTCAAAAATGTCTTTCAATGCTTCATAAATTGATGCCCTAGCAGAGAAATGCTTCCTTTTCCTCTCCTTTCATTCTTTCCTTCTTTCTCTCCTTTTTTTTTTGCGAGCCGACCATGATCAAATCAGCAAATTTCTGTGCCATATCCCACAGCAGAGGTAGCTTGTGTTGCGATATGCGACACAATAAGGAAAATCCTCACCATGCATAAATGATTCATTTTGAAACACCATTACTTCATTCATGTCTGCTCATTTAACATCCCAAAGACTTAATTCATTAAAATGTCATTTGAAATTCTAATTACTTACTAATTATTAGTTCATCCTTAATTAGCAACGAGTTACAGGATTAGAAAAATGAGGATGTTACATGGCACAAAGCCATTTCTCTTTGTTTCTCACTTTTTGATGTTTAGGTGGCCTGATTTTACTCTAAACTCCATCCTAAAACTGAAATCACAACCCAAAACATCTGTTAACTCTCTGTAATTACATATCACATTAATCTTTAACCCTCTTTAACCACCCACTAACTTCATTTGACAAATTAAATATAATTATCTCGCTAATTAACTAAAGATTAAAATTCAGGATGTTACAGTAGTGGAGTAAAATTAAACATGGTTTTCTACCTCATATGAAGGCAAAAGAATTAAATTAAAGAAAACAGACGATAATTTCATGATTTTCATTCAACGATTAATGTGTAAACATTTATGAAGTTGACAAGAGTTGAGCTTACCTGATTGCCTTGTCAATTAAATCTCTTATCTCACTATTTTTTGTCTTATTATTTTCTCTCTCACAATTTTTCCTTAGCTTTTAATTGCCTCTTTGCTTTATCTTTTCTTTTCTTTATATAGATCCCTACACCTAAAGTTTCTCTAAATGCTCAATTATATGGTGATCTTTTTAATTTATATCAATATTTTTTATGTATTTTTTTAGTTATTATTATTCAAATATTAGATATTATTTGTTATCTTCTCTATTATTATATCTTGATTATTATATTATATTGGGATCTTTAAGTTTTTATAGCTCATATATTATTAATGTTAATATTAGATTGTGAACTGATTTGATTATATTTATGTCAATTTTTTTTATCTTCATACCAAAGACCTTTTAAATTTTTATTTATTTATTTGTTATACAATATTTTTCTATTTTCATTCTTTTTATTTTATAACAATTTCTTTTATAAAATATTTTTCTAATTTCCATTTTTCATTATCTTTTTGTTTTTTTATTCATTTTTAGATGTTATTTTATTTTCTTATAAAAGCCCGAACAAAATATGGTAATCATACAACATTTACATGGACATCAATTGCAGCGTAGAGGATAACGTGCATAAAATAAAATAGACTAAAGTATAATTTTAGTCCTCTAATTTTATATAAAATTTTAATTTGATCCTTAAATTTTGTAAATTATTTTTTAATTCTTTAACCCTAACATCATTAGTTTTAAATGATTATTTTTTGTGTCAATTATTTTTATTTTAAAAAACTTAAACTTAATATGTCACCATTTGAAAATATTTTGTTAACATTTAAAAGTTCAATGTAAAAATTTGTTGAGATAAAACTACAGTATTAGAATTAAAAGATTAAAAAAATATTTTATAAAATTAAAAAATTAAATATATAATTTAACTCAAAAAATATAAGCGTTATTTTTTTTTTCCCTCCCGATAGAATACTGGGGCAATATCGGGCGAATAAGAGAGTGGGGGAGAAAATGTTGGCCATAAAAAGTAAATAGAGACTCGCCAATTATGGAGATGGGAAACCCCCTTTTTTTTTTATTGGGGGGGGGGGGGGGGCGCCAGAAAACGGGGAACTTTCTGAAACATACATTGGAGCGTTCCACAGCATAAGAATCTCTTCTTATTTTAACTATCAAATAGCAGTGAAGGCCAATAATGAAGAGTGAACTAAGAAGGGATAGAGTTGGAGAAAGGGAGAAGAGAATGAGCCAAAAGTACAAATACTTTGCCGCTAATCAGTATTTAGCGGCCTAGCAAAAGGACGATTTAAGTAGCTTGAAAATATCTTCCACTTTGTTTTTGGCCACTGGAGAGCTAAATTAGAGGCAAAAACAGAAAAATCATCTCTAGACGTGGGTTGAAACTCTCGATTTTGATGTCTTCTTCTTTACGCCCATTTAGGTATTTAAACGAAAGGTGTAGCTTTTATACTTACAGAAGGGAAATAAGAACCAGAAAATAAGGGGCAGGCAAGCTTGCCCATCTACATCAAGAGCATACACCACATCAGAACAGAAGCTACAACAATCTTTGGACAGCCTAAAGAACTGAGATCACATCCATCAAGCCACATACAAGAACATATGTAAAATCTTTGTAGTGTTCATACGCAAGAATGCTCCCAGTACAAAAGTAATAAAGAGAACGTGGGCACCCGAGAAAATATATCCCCCCATATCATTTTTTGCCAATCCCAGTTGGGCATTCTGCCAATTCAGTATACACAAAAGAAGAAAAGTCAGGATACATGAGATCAGACTTGTGAAATAATTTAATAGCATTAGTAAGGCTGGCACATACAAAACCATCAATGAGTAGGGAGAGACCATGAAAGAAGAAAGAGGTTTGAATATCTAAATTGGCATTAAAAAAAAAACAGACAAAAAGGTAAAAGCACACCTGTCGATACAGGATAAAGCTTAGCTTGGCTTCAGCTAATCCTCTGCATAAGCCAACAATTTGCAAGTCAATTCCATGACCAGCATGCGTAGAAAAAAAGAATGGAGATCAATGATCCAGTTATTAGGTTATCATGTCGAGTAATAAAACATATTAAATCATAAAATTAATTCAATTCTGCGAATTTATGCAAAAAGTAAAAATAAAGTATTCTGACAAACATGAAAAAAATCAATTCAAACAATGGTTTTAAAAATTTCCTCATAGATGAACATCAAGGTTACATTTATCATCCTGAGTTTGCATCAACTTATGCAAAAGCTAACCATTGGAGCACGATCAGCCATGCCTCCAACTATTATATAGGGCTAAGCTCAGCTTAGACTTGAGGTTGACACTCAACCTCCTCAGTTCCTCAGCTCTAACTAGGGTTAATGCGTTCTTACATAACTTTCCACAAACTTATGTGGCTACATCTGAGCTAAATTGGCCTGAATTAAATTGTTCCATGTCAAGCTCAGACGCAGCTAGAAGTTTGACCCCTCACTGAACCAGAGAGGCAAGTGATACACAAATCACAAGTTAAACTGTATGAACTGAAATTATTAGTAATATGTGACATATTATAATACCTCCATAACAAAACAAACGTATAGCAAGAATGTATCAAAAATAGTAAATATAACAAATAAATAATTAAGAGTTCATAAATTATAATGTTCAGCCAAAACAAAAGAAAAAATAAATTTCAAATTTTAATTTAGTCAAGGGCACTATGAGGCATCAATGGTACCCCTTGCCGGTTTAGAAGAGGACCCTCCTCCAGGCCGTTCAGGTGGGTGCAAGTTGCCAACCCCAGGCACCTTGCCAGTAACTCAAAAGTAATATAGCTCTAAAAAAAAAGTTTTTGGACTTTCAAGCACTTTAGCGTCAGTTACTTTATGCTGGCTGGCCAGCAACATCTACATTAATAAGTGTGTATTCTGGCACAAGAATTGATAACTTTAACGCACCGTTTTTTATAATTATTATGCTTAAATAGTTTGATTTATATGTCAAACAGCATCACTTGACTTCATCTTTACATAGCATATTTTTAGCTTTTTCCCCTATTACAGCACCTTGCTTCACTGAGGCAGATTTCTAGCTAGTCTTTCCTCAAGGCACTGGGAGGGAATCCAACTCCATGAGAGTGCCTTTCACATTTGAAAACTTAGAATATAACCTACCAAAATCATTTTGATATTATATTAAACACGAATTTTCGATTAATAATTTTACTATTTAGTCTCCATGTGAACTAGCAAGTTTAGACCAGTTCCCAAGTCTTATACAGCTTTGACCAGCACGACATTTTCCAGTTGGAAAGATAGAACGAACAGATAAGCAGATCAGTCAGCCCCTCTTTTATAATATTCTGGTCCAGAGTCTTCCAAATTTCTGAGCAATGAATTGTTACTATGATATGCCAAAGAAAATGATAAGCTTAATTTTAGCTATAAATGATTTATTGAAATTTTTACAAACTTCAACTGAACCGATGAAAACTTCTTACATTAACAATTATGCTTAAAAATAAACTATAATTAATATTGGATGTCTGAATCAGGTGATCATAACTTCACATTTGTCACTCAAAATCCAAGACTACAAACAATCATGCCATACTATACTAAGGCAACTCCACAACTTAGTTTTTCAAGTGTAGCGATGAATTGTAAGAAGCTCAAAGGCTGCAACCACCACAACTTGGTGAATGGTCAACTTGAATACTTACATCTATAAATCTAATTGCTCAGCACGTAAGATCATTTTCATACTTTTTCGCATTTGTAAACCATTGCAAAGAGAGATCCATATGGGATCAAATAAAGCTGAGGTCCTATTTATACAAAAAACATGGTTGTCATTTCCTCAACTTGAATGGGAATGGTAAAGGTTGCGGTGCTCACAAATATCAGACATTTGATGTATGAGACGATGGCACTCAGCTTATATTTTAGGACTAAAGAACCCAGTTTAGGGTAAAAAGAAGCCCGACCAATTCATGAATCCTGAAGAGGCATTTGAAGCCCATCATCCCAATAAAGAGACAGAGCCTCTCAAATTTTTAATAGAAAATATTCATAAGTATTAAACATCTGGCATGCCGCTTCCAAACTCACATCTCATTCAACATAGCATCCAGGTTGGTCCTCTATGCCATATGGCTCGGTTTTAGTCACTACTACTATGTAAGAATGTAATCCTAGAATGATACAAACCCAACTCCCTTGTGATCTCGTGATGTTCCAATTCTAATTTCTAATAAGATGATGAACAGAAATCAGAATCAAATTAAAGAGAGAGAAAACATCATGCGAGGTATATATTATCACAATTCAATTAATAAATCCGCACTAATTTTATCCAAAAATTAAGCCCTATCAAAGTGCAACCATCTACAAGGTTGGTTGAATCAGAACCAAATCTACATCAACAGTAAGAAAAACGCTTCCCAAAATTTTAGCCCTAAGTGCCCTCATCTACCAAGTTGGTAGAATCAAGACCAAATCTACACCATCATTAAGTAAAACCCTTGACTAGGTTTTGTCACTTTGACAGCATAGCATACCGCCTGTGTTCTCGCTAAAAAAGCATTCCAGCCATCTACTCGTCTGTCTAATACACAGCACACTGCATCGAGTTCATTCTACCTTGTAGCAATATAAAATATCCATCATCTATAAACAAACTCAAGAATACCCAGGAAAAGGACCTTGATTATGCCCCTCCAAGTATAGACCTTAAGCTTCAGATAATTTACATCCCCAATCCTCAAAATTGTTCATTCCAAAACAAGACAAATCAAAGACAAAAACAATACTTTAGGGGGCGAAATCATCCAGCACCAGGATGCCTTCGTGTATATGCAATCAAAATAAACGATAAAGTCAGGAAAGGGCATTTGCGCGTAAATATATGCATACGCGAGGTAAAATCCCGAACCTTTCTTATGTTCTTGTTCGACTGGCACCGTCTTAATTACTGCCTCATCCTCTTTCTCCACCTTCATTGCCACTACGGCAGCACCATCGCGCACTCCGCCATTTACACCATCGTTATCATCAGGATATCGAACCACCACGACCGGACAAACGCAATGATGCACGCAGTAATCGCTGACGCTCCCAAGTCTTCCATCGCTGCCACGACGCACCGCACCGAACCCTCGACTACCCATGATCACGGCACTCAGCCCCAGCCTCTCCACCTCCAAGCACAGACGCTCCCTCATGTCATGATCCTTCACAATATGGATCTTATACGGAATCTGAGCATCCTTAAGCGGCTTGGCGAGATCGGCAGACTTAGACGCAGTGAAAGCATCGAAATCGTCCTCAAGCTTCCTCTTGGAGTGCTCATTGTTAGTAAGGTTACTGACGGCGTTTTCCTCGGAGTTGGGATCGGTATTGATGGAAAGGTCGATGGCCCCCCAATCAGCGCCGAAGAGGACAGACGTAGGGCTAACGTGAAGGAGGATCACCGCATCCCCGGGGCGGATGTAGTTCTGGACTGCCCAACGAACGGCGAAGGCACTCTCATCGGAGAGGTCAACAGCTACGCCAATTTTGCGGCGGGCGCCGGCAGTGGGGGTGGGAGTGGCGGCGGAGACAGCTGGGCTATGGACGCGAGGGGAGGAGGGGTGGTGGATTTTGATTTGTGGGAGTTCAGGGTCGGAATCGAGTGAAGGGTGCTGCTGCTTTTGCCGCATTTTTTTTCCGTTTGCGTCTTAACAAAGTGTTGAGTGAGAGAGAGAGAGAGAGTGAGATTTATTTCTAGAGAGGTTCTGTCATCTGTGTCTGAGATCAACGACTCGGTGCGTGAATACTGGAGCGAGTCCACTGGTTCTGGGAAGTGGGCTTTGAAATATTTCGGGCAATTATTATTGGGCTGGCCCAAATTTCAATGGATAAGGTTCTTTATTCATGTTCTGACGTGGCACATACTCAGAACTTGTAAAATACCTTACTAAATTCGTAAATTACTGTATTTCATTTTTTAAATTATCTTGCTTATTTGGCAAATAAGAAAGAAAAAATAGGATAATACAATTCGAGACCGTGCATATCAGTAATTATTTAGCTTTCAAATATTTATAGAAGGGAAAAACTATCTACTGGTGAGTGGTAACCTGTAATATTTTTTAATTTAATATTTAATGATCATTTAACCTTCAGAAATAATTAGATATTAACTTTTTTCCACCCAAAAAAAAGGATATTAATGTTTTTAATAAAAATTTACATATAATATTTTTCGCCACCCATTAACCAACCAGTGGACGTGCCGGAGTGGTTATCGGGCATGACTAGAAATCATGTGGGCTCTGCCCGCGCAGGTTCGAATCCTGCCGTCCACGCTTTCTATGAATTTTTTTTGTTTTTCAACTTAACCCATATGGCTTACACATTAATGGAGTAAAAATTGGATGGTGCATAGACTGAGAATTATTTATGAATGAAATGCAATGTTTTAAGAACACGTATTCAAGTGGAATGCGATGAAGAGCCAGCAGCCTAGCACTGACTGGTGCATCATACCTCATTGGATGAGAGGAAACGAGTAAAAGCTAATACAAACACACACACAGACGCACACACATATAGCAGCAAGGAAGAGGAAAAGGAGTGAAAGGGATAAGGAGGAGAGCAGAGACAAAAAGTAAAGATCATTGCCAAAAGTATAATAGCAAGGCATAGAGTAAAAGAAAAGCAAAAGCTGGCCTCCTCCTAATCTAACACACACCCTCATGCATTCATCTCTCTCTCTCTGGTATATATGATTTACATTTACTTTGTACTCTTCACCTTCCTCGTCTGTCATGTACATAGTCCTGCCTCGCTTTATTCTCACTACCAGAACCTTCATGCTTACCTCCCCAACATATGATCGATCTCTCTCTATAAATACCTTTGAGCTCAAATCTTTTAATTTCAATCACAAAATGAGTACTGAATATTAGAACATGAGGAGGAATAGGGTTATTAGGACCGAAATAGTTTATTTCTCTCACTATTTCTCCCTAGTTAATCTCACACACACACGCTTTTTTTGGTTAACTAAGATCATGGATATTCAAGTGATCTTTTTTCTGCCAAGCTTGAGTGACCATTGTGTTAGTTTTTTTTTTTTTTTACCAAACCATTTTGTTAATTAGTTTGCTCGTTGCTTTATGTTTGTAGGAGTTATCTCTACTTAAAAATAATTTGAAATGATAAAACAAGTAATAGAGATGATTTATAGTTAGGGGTTTATTTAAACTGAGTTAAAAGTTTATGAGAATCTATTGGTATCATTTGTTGGACTGCAATTCTTTCCCTTGAGAGAATTAATACATTCTTTCTCTCACAGGCATTCGTTATATGGATATTGGCAAACATGTAAAAGGATAATTAATAAATCACTTCTATGCATAAATAAAACTAAGAATTTTTCAGATGATAATGCCAGTCTTGTATTAAAATTAAAAGCATATATAAATATAGCGTATATTGGAACGTAATATATAATCGCGGGACTGAGTATTGAGTCTATACGAAAAGCATACCCATGAAAAAAGCACAGTCACAATTCCTTTTTTTAATTCAAATGTTTAAATGTATGAAATTCCTTCTTTAATTACCTTTTAATTTGGAATTATAATTTTCGGTTTTAGGTGTGGAAGGTCAGTTAATACGCGGAGGTTATCTTATTAGTTAAACTCAAGACACCTTCAGTTTTGCAATTAAAAAGAAAACTTTGGTTTATTATATATAATTGTGCTCACTGTATTTTTTAAAGTACACTACCCTAGCTAGAGAGGGACTGTCTCTGAAAAGGGCGAGTGAGAATTTTAAATATTGTTAGACAGGGAAAGAAGTTAAATGTATAAAGCTCTCTTTCATTAATTATTTTCAAAATAAAAATGTATATTTATCTTTGCGTAATCAATGCTAATTAAATCGAAGAAGCTTAAATGGTTCAGATCTGGTATTTTTCTGTCTCTCCCACACACACAGACAATTTTCTGGTGATGAAGGATCATTTTCAAGTTTTTTGGAGGACTCTCCAAAGGCATTACTCTGAGGTCTATATAGGGCAAGACAGAGATACCTCCCATGTGTTTCAGCACATAAAAGACGTAAACTTAACTCCAGAACAGAAAAAACTTTCCACCTTGATTCTGTTAAAGTATTAAAAGAACCTGCAACTCTCTCCACTTTTACAGTCAGAAACAACAGCTCCAGGCTCCTGCTAGGGTTTGTTTTTAACCTAATTCTCTCCTTTCTTCGTTTATCATTTCAACCTAGAAACTGCAATCACGTTACAGTTGAAAAATAACGGGGAGAGAGGGGATTTGATTTTCCCAAGAAGGAGATGCATAGGACTGTTTTGATGAGTATCAAGTCTAACAACAAAAGGAAATTACACAGAAAAAGGGTGTACTATTGGAGGGGTTTGTTGTTTCCTACATCTTACATATGCATTACACGGATCTCAGATCATCACTAGTCTCAAAACAAAAGAACAAAAAGGACTCATCGCTCTGATTCTATTTCTTTATGTGTCTGAGAGCCTCAAATAAAGCTCTGATAATTAAAGCTTGAGAGACAGATCAACAGATTTAGAAGGCGCAGCAGAAGCAGTATCTGCAATAGTATGAGCTCTAGCTGCTGCAGTGATAATAGAAGAAGAACAAGAAGCTGCTTGATCATGACCCCTGACTAAAGATAATTCCAGTTCCTTGGAAGTCGTGCCTTTCCCATATTCTTTTCCCGGAAAAAAATCGTATTCCATCAAAATTTTCCCACTCATCGGCCCTACCTTTCTGTGAACCGCCATAACTCCCACAGACTACAAATAAATCAGAAGCCAGTTATTGCATTCTATTTTACTGTGTTCAAACTTCAAACGATACGTTGAAAAAGGGTAAATATAATATTATTATGTGTGTGCCCACCTCGCCAAGATTGCGAAAAGAAGAAGCATTGTGCGTGGACAATCTGGTGGTGAAATCTGTGGCTTCAGGAGGGAGGCTTGTAGCTTGTTGGGGAGTGAATCCCAGAAAATGATCAGGGCCATTGATCATGGACCTTATATCTAAAGCATTGTCTCTCCTCGTATTTGATCTTTTTACGATGTTGTCGTCCGTGAAACGCTTTTTCTGGACAAATCAAAGCAATGTATAGAAATTTAAAAAAAAAAAAAAAAAAAACCCAACGAAAAAACCCAATGTCTCGAATCCTCTACAAGGTCAAAACAAGCAAACCCATATTGAAACGAGAAATAATGGATGAAAGTACCTTGAAGCAAAGATCGCATGGTTCAGATTCAGAATGCGTATTTGGCATTGAAGAGAGCTCTCTCGAGGTCTCCGAGGGGCTTCCAACCAAGGGACTCCAAGCCGGAGGTCCGAACCCATACGAGTACCCTCCACCACCAAGCACGTTGAACCCAGCATTATCCGGAACAGTCCCACCGGTCGGACCCTGACTCAACCCACCGGGGATTACAGCGTTGCCATTGAACATCAAATGATGAGGAGGAGGGAACTGATGAAGCAGTCCATGGTTAGCGGATGCACCATGGTGTGGGGGAAGATTGCCGGCGAAGGGGTCACCGCCGATAGGGAAGGGAGAGAGAAGCGGTGGTATTACAGAAGAAGACTTGTTGTGATGCATCTGGTTCATCTCTTGAACCCTGAGGATACTTTCGAGCTGAGCCACACCCATACCTCTCTGGGGTTTCTTCTTCTGATTCAGACCCTTGCCATTATTGGCCTTCCGGCCTCTGCTGCTTCTGGAGGGTTCTGTCTTGGGTAGTTCCTGATCCGATGAACCGCAGAGAGCCGAAGGTGGCTTCATGGTCTTGTTCTTGTCGGAGGCCATCAGAAGAAGCGAAGTAGCCATGGCCGTGTGTGAGTGCTGAGAAATGAATGCAACAGTGAAAGAATCGACTGGATTTTAAACGAGAAGAGAGACGCAGGGATCAAATAAAAGCTCTCTGTGTTATATGCTCTTTGGCTCTGGAGAGAGAGAGAGAGTGGAGCGAGCCAAAGCAGAAATGCCTGTGAAATGGTGAGAGAGATAGAGAGAGAGAGAGAGAGAGAGGACATTGCACTCCGTGTGCTAGTTTGTGAAAAATGAGGAAATTACCCATAGCCTTTATCATAAATGCTAAATTTATTTATTATATAAATTATTTTTTAAATTTTTAAAAATGTTGTAATCTGATTTCCATTATTAATAAGAGTTAATTTTAACAAATAAAAAATGGTCAAAAAATATGAAAATTAACACAAAAAATGATAAAAATATAATAAATGCTTTAAAAATTACAAATAAAGATCCTAAAAAATTACATAAAATTTTGAGGTCACTTTTTATTAACTAACTATCAAAATTATTTTTATTAACAACAAAAATTAGATTATAACCTTTTAAAAATTAAAAAAATAATTTTTATAATAAATAAATTTAAAATCTATAATACTATTATACCAAAAGTTTGGGAAGCAATGAATTACCCATGTACTTATGTGCCATTTACTTGGGTGTTTTGAATTGGCCGCCGATTTAATTTTGTCTTGTTTGGTTTTTAATAATCTATTTATTTTATTTATAATTCTTTTGCTGGGCCCACTGAAAAGTGTTGAGGTTCCACACATTGCCCCTTTGAGGAATAAATGGGAGAGGGTTACATGGAACAGGAGAAGGCGGTCGCAAGCTTAACTATAGCTTAATTATTGTTGATGTGATAGCGTTTCTGTGTGTACGTCTACGATGCCCCAGAAGCGCGTCCGTGGCACGCTCCTTTTCTCTTTTTGTCCCCTTTAATTAGTCTGCAAATAAACATACATCTCATATCCTGAATTTTGAAAACCTGTGAGAGACAGAGAAGCTGCTTCCTCTCAGCCTCAAGCTTATGGTACAGTGATAGATATTGTTGATCCAACAGATAATATCAACACCGAATTACAAAGGAGGAAACTACTGGAATTTAATAAAGGATGGGCTTCTTTGGATTTATTGGCCCCTCAAATCTTGTTTAGAAATTTTCGATACTTACTACTTCCGTTATTTGTACAAGTTCTAACACACTCACTTTCTGTCCTAAACATACAGCAAAGTTTTAAAGTGATATTTAGTTTTAACTATAAAACAAAAATGTGTTATTTAGATATTTTCTGATTTTAGTGCATTTTTACCCTTCTTTAACTGCAACAAATTGTTGGTATGATTTTAATTCCTATACAACACTTTATTATAATAGTTAATTACAGCGAAAATGGTCAAATTGAAAATTTGCGCTTCTTTATACAAGTTTAAGGTATTAAACACTACCCCATAAGAATTACTTCCTCCCATCAAAAATATAAGCAGTTTTGAGAAAAAGTTTGTATATTAATAAAGTTGTCATTCTCCTAAAATTATATATTATTTTTTTATCCTTAATCCATATTAATAATGCATTTCATGATGAGTTAAAGATAAATTTACAAAAATCTAAGTTAATAATTAATAGGGTAAAATTATTGTAAAAAGTGCATGGACCAAATTACTTATATCTTAAATCAAGATAAGTTGGGAGAAGATGCTTATTTAGATCGGATGGAGTATAAAATTAGTTAACTTTGCCTTATAGACTAGGACCGGAAAGACTATGAATCTATGATCTATAATACTCTCTCTTCATTTAGTATTATAAAACACTTTTTTAGAGTATCATGTTAAAATAAGACATTTCAAGCCTTATAATTAATACAGTTTTTTAAAATATCCTTAATCAAGGATTCAGATTTTTTTTAGTTGAGATAATTCATTAATTAAGATAAAAATAAAAAAATGTACTCAATGTAAGACATTTTTTGAAGGGTTTGGATATTTAAAAATATAAAATAATTTTAGTTTTTAATGTGCAATTAATGTATTTTTTTCAAAAATACCCTTAATAAATAAATCATTTAATATTTATTTTTGAATAAAGAACTTCATTAAATAAGGATAAATATAAAAAATATTATGTTAATTTAAAAGTAGTTAACTAATTTATTAAATAGTAAAAATTAATTAAAAATATTTTATATTTTTAACAGAGCGAGAGGAAGTATAATTTTAAATATCTATTGGTTGTGCTGAGACATTAGCAGCTGGGAAGGCTCATTGTGCTGGGGAAGATATTCAGATGCTCGCAGAAGTACCAATGTTTTGTATGGATATTCTCAATAAGGAAAAGAGCTTTTGCTCTTGTGGTTAATTTTTTTATAATTTTTTACGATACTTCAAACTTCGGCTTGCCCTCTTGGTGGGGAGGGGGGAAAAAAAGATGATCACTTTGAAGCAGTGACGAGAGTGGTGACACGCATGAGGGGTGGGACTGATAGACTGATAGAGGCGAATTCCTGAGAGCATATCATAAATTCATGACCCATGGATCCTTGGGGCTAGGTGGTGTATAGTATGTGGTGGTAAAAGAATTAAGAATGCTTTTAGTTGTAGTAGTCGTAGTAGAGCAGCGTCAGAGACAGCATTATCCAAATTAGCAACAAACCATTAGGCTTTTAGAAATATATATTCATGTTTAAAAAAAGAAAAGAAAAGAAAAGGCTACGTACGTCGGTTTTGCCTTTTAAAAACGCCACTCAGGCATGCCACTGCTAGTTTCAACTCGCACATCAAATATGGCCTTACAGATGATCACTCACAGTTTATATAGTAAGTAACACCAAGTCCTCTCTCTCTCTCTCACAGAATAAAGAAGAAAAGCAAGCAGAGATATGGTGTTTGTTTAGGCAATCAAGAGTGAGATTTTGGTCAATAATGAATATAATACGATCGAATCAGCCCTATCAAATAGCCTTGCAATGATGCCCCTTCTGCCTTCTTTAACCTCTTCTTTTTTGGTAAACAAGAGCTTTCTGTAAATGAGGCCATTTCTTTGGTATACTTCGTGGGGGTGTTTGTTCTTTAAAACGTAGCTATGCGTGCCTAGGAGCTTACTTTGGGTAGGTGTGCGAGAGAAGTGGTAGTGTTTCCCTGTTGCTGATATTAGCATGCAATGATTAAACATGGATGCGAATATATATTATCATAATTGTTTTTTGCTTCTTATAACACACACACACAATGTGTGATGCCCATGGATTTGAGTAATTCATAACAAACACGCAAATCCTATGCCAACTTCATTTTTCTAACGTTTATTGGGATTGAACCCCAGCCACGTGATCAACCAAATTACTCCCTCTATATTTTCTATTTTCTATCCACATATTGTTGGAACAATTTTATGAAAGATATATGTAATTAAACTTATCAAGTAATCAAGATTATTAACCCTATAATAAAATATTAGTCTTTTTTTTTCTGCGTGCATGCTTTGTTTGAATAGGTAAATCTATAGTATAGAAATCCAAGTTAATATTATACACCCGGAACCAACAAACCATTAAATTAATGATTTGATTAATTTAATAAAATGTTTCCTTTATGACGTTTTATCACATTTAAGTTATAATTCTGACCATTAATCCTTAAATAATATCTTGATTAGTTTAATAATCAGTTCAATTTTTAATTAGTAACTTGAGTAAATTGTGATGTCTCCTAAATCTACCACATACTTAACCACAATTAGCAACTCTCTCATAGAAATTATAAGGTAACCAATCCCCATAAGTATTTATCATGGTGAAGAAGACTCAACTATGGCTGAAACTAATTAGCCATAATAAAAAAGGAAAACACTTTATTTCAAAGTCTTCTAGGATTAATAGAAATTGACTTATATACTCCCTCCCTTAAAAAATATAAGATATTTTTTTATGAGTTGAATGTCAGACATTTTTTTAAAGGTTGGATGATAAAAAATGTAAGACATTTTTAATATTTTAAGACATAGTCATTGTGTATTTTTTCAAAAGTATCCATAATGAATAAATTATCTTATATTTATTTTTGAGTGGAACATTATATTAAACAGGAACAAATATGAAAAGATAATATTAGTTTAAAAACAAGTAACCATTTTATCAGAGGACAAGGTTCGATTAAAAGTGCCTTACATCTTTTAACAAATGAGATAAATAAAAATATTTTTTTGTTTTGGAAAATATGACTTTCTTGTAATTTTTTATTCCCCCCCCCCAACGTGCCAAATTCTAAATCCATCCCCGCCAAAAAGTGTGATCAAATTCCATAAACGGTCACAACGGATGAGTACGGATAGCAAATGTGTTCGCTGTGATAGAATTTCAGGTGGATTTATGTAAATCTTAAAATTATTAAATTATTAAGTAAAGCATACTTGCACGTTCATTTTTGATTGATTTTACCATAGAAATCTAGTCATTTGAGATACACACACACACACATACACGGACAAGATAAATGCATGGTATAAAGTAGTTCTTAAATGTAAACACACAACACGCACGCACGATAATTTCTGCGGGATATATATATACATATATATTGTCGTTGATGAGTTCATTTTGGGGGGGGGGGGTGTTAGCTGACTGTGTTGTATGAGATTAGCTGATTCAAGCATGAATGCATGTACGAGACATTAAACTCTGGAAAGTAATTATATTAATTGTAACTAGTATTGTGTGTGTTGCGATCAGTAAATTAAATTTAAATAATGGATGTAGCTAGTCATTGTGGAAGAGATTTATTTTCAAGCTCAAAAGAGTAAATTGATTATTTACACGTAAATAAGAATTTAGATAAGAAACTACAGGCTAATAAATTCGTAAAATTAATATATACCGTGCATGACCAATATATATATATATATATACACCCACCGTGTTTTGTGGGGGTGACGATGGAATCTGAAAAGGAAGAAGGTGGCGCCGGTGGTTGCAGGAGGAGGAGTGGAATAGGAAGGGGCCCACGCGGTGGTCCCGGTGGTCCCCGGTGACCGTACGGGATTTAGGCGGCTGAGAGAGAGAGAGAGAGAGAGGCGGGGACGTGGCACGTGGGAGGGGAGGGGGAGACACGTGTAAGGTGGGAGGTGGGATTGCTGGTTTGAGAGAGACACGGTGGATTCGAAGGGGTCTGAAACCGAGATTGTGCCCTGCTTGGAATGATTGCCATTTCCAGGCCTTTGCGGCTCTGGACCACTTCTCTTTAATCATCCCTCTAACTTCAATTACTCACCCTTAATCTCCTCGATAGAGTGACAGACAAGAAATTATTTTGGTCTGATAGAAGGACATAAAGGTATTTTTATTTTAGATCACACTTCACAGGCTCTATTAAAACAAGAAGCAGCTAAAGGAGGCTTTGCATGAGGGAGGGGACAGACACGGGCAAATAGAGTGAAGTGAGCAATCTGCTTTATTGCAACTGGGAAAGGACCATCCCCCATTTCGGTACAAACCCAACCCACCACACTCCCATTGGTCATTGCTACAGATTCCACCATTAATTAGAATAATTAATTATTAGTTAATTGCAAATTCCATAATAGAACAGTGAGACAGAGTACAGAGGAGCAGGAAGGACTACAACACACCCCTGCGTCGGTCCCTCACAGTAGCAGACCCAGATGCATAGATATGAATCTCAACTAGGATTTTCCCCTGCACTTGAATTCCCCATTTTACCCCCCTCTCTCTCCTTCCATCCTAATTTCACCCAAGGGATCTTCTTCATTGAAATAGGGATCCACCGTGATGCCCTCCAGATTAGAGGTGAGGAGATACCTGGCGGTTGGGAAAGGTACTGAGAAAAAGCATGCCAAAAGGCCAGACACAAAAGCAACATGTGTCTACTCTGTGTCCCAGCCCTATCCATGCATTACAAAATAATATTTTTTACACAAATTATGAGTAGCTAGAGTTTCATCCCTTAAGTTTATAATTTTTGCTTGATATTTTATTATCTTGTGTCCACTGTCCTGTTCACCCTGGCTGCACACCCTTGAAAATCCAAAGGACTGAGTGCCCTCCTACGCCTCGTTTTTCTCAGAGTGGCATCAGGTTTTCAAGGTGAACAACATCTGATTTGCAGAAAAATGGAAGGGAAGTTGGCAAAATGATCCATAATCTCAATAAAAGAATTGACTTTGAGGAATGGGCAAAAGAGTCCCAACTTCAAACTTGTTGACAGTCAGTGGATTGTTTGAGTTGCTCTCATAGTGAAAGTGAGTTGTCACATACTAGTCAGGAAATGAATTGAGAACGAGCCCTTTCAGAGTCCTTTTTTCAAGTGTTGAACAACAGACTGAAAACTAATACATTTAAGAGGAACCCAATTGTTTAATCAAAAAATTCTATTATATTATAAATTATAATAACCTTTTAGTATAGAAATTGATTTAAATCATATATCTCAAATCAAGATATCATTGAATGATGAAATATCATCTAAGATAATAAAATATCTTGAGCATAGCCCCAAATTAACTAATTCTACTCTATCTAAATCAAAGAATAAATAACCCAAATGGTAAGTTGTAAATAGAGGTGGGTAGGTTGAGTTAGCACATGATTGTTTTGAGAAACCTAATTATTGCGCTATATATATGAGAGGGTTCTCTAAATATTTTAAACACTTGTCATCTCACATCTATTACGTCTAACTCTCTTTTTATGCCTTGAGTCCTCGTATTAAAATCGTGATAGAGACAATTATAATGATGACTTCAATTTTTAACTTTTTATATACAAAAGCTCATTTGGAGAGAGATATCTTTTTATTTTCAGTGTGCTAAGAGTAAATATTACTCCATATTTATACTGAAGATGCTTCTATACATAGTACCTGAAAATAATTCATAATAATACATAGAGTATGGTCCAAATAATTAATTGTACCAAGTGTGCAGTACATGCTGTATAATGCATCCGCAACATTTCTGAGTAGATTAAAACCCACAGATACTTGCCTATCATCTTTCTCCTATCCCCACACTAGGAAAGCCAGCTATACACCCGCACCTTCCTAACTCCCTTACAAAACAAAACAATTTTACGTACATTCACACTTCACATATCTACCTTCTTCTAAAGCCTCCAACACACAGGCCTCTGAATAGCCACATATATTAATTTCTGCAATTGGTTGCTCTTTTTAATAATTAATGAATAAAAAAATAGGTACCTATTTTTGTTTTAATGCCGCTCCCAACAACAACAATCAATGTCCCTCTCGTGCATAAATAACGTACGGTTTGACAATTCACGGTTACATGCATGCTTCCTTGTCATTTTCAGGAGTGATATTTTAAAAAAGAAAATTCTCCTCTGTCATTTTCAGATAATGTAAAATCGGTGAATATAATTTTATACGAAGTTGATCAAAGGGAAAAAATCTAATCAATATATATATATATATATGAGGAATGGTTAGGCCTTACATAACAGAAGCAAAAACAAAGAAGTGGTCGTCACTGGTAGTCTGGCGCTATTGGATTTATGGGATATCTACCAGTGATCCGAAATGCCATCCTTTCTACATAACAATTTCAAATAATTACATTTGTTGGATTCTGTTGAACAGCAAGACATCTTTATAAATATATATATATATATATATATAAAATAAAGTTTAGATAAGTTGAGTCTCAAGAGCAGGATTATGACATATTTTCAAACTCAAAAAGCACTTATAATTATATTTATAGATCATCTACCAACAAGCTTCTCACGTTAACAGTAAAATTTAATTTCGTGACTTTGTAAATTATAAGATAAATTTTTATCAATTGAATTAATCTTTATTGGGTGCTGAAATACAAGACATCTACCTGCGTGTGTGTGTGTGTGCCCGTGCTTTTTCCCCCATTACTGTGAGTGTGTGTGTGTGTCTGATCAAAACCGTAAAGAGACAAGAATAAACTGGTGAGTTATTTGGTGGGCCTAACTAAGAGCGCTCTCAGGCCCAAGAAGATTGGGCCAGGTCTTACCTTACCTTGCCCCTTGTTCTGGAGCTGCCATTGAAGCTACACTGAGAGTGTTTTGTAATTTTCCATCCAAGTTGGCGTTGAGAAAAAGATATACTCTTTCATTTAAAAATATAAAATATTTTTAATTAAATTTTACTTCTTAATAAAATAATTATTTATTTTTAAATTAATTCTATCTTTCTATATTTATCTTTATTAAATACTCTATAATAAATATAAAGTCATTCATCAATAGAGACATTTTTAGAAAAAAAAAAAGACAATGAATACACCTTAAAAAATTAAAAATACTTTATATTTTTTAACATCTAACTCTTTAATATTTTTTAATGGAGAAAGTAATATTTATTGCATTTTAATCTTTAAATATATTTTTCAGGGAGAATTATCTTAAAATCTCCGCAATCAAGAAAAAGAATAAATGCAATACTCCATGCACTAAGAAAATATTATGTGAGAATCGCGTCTAATTATTTTATTCATTGATTTATTGATATTTTATATATTTATCTGTAGTAGTTCTGTATGCATCATTTGTAATTATTTTTACCCTTGTAAATAATACAAACTAGGACAGGAAAAAAATGAAATTGTCGGTAGCACGTTCCATTTGCGAATTATTCTCATTCCTTCGGATACAAAGATTTTCGCAGAGCGGGGCATCTATCTAGTCGCAATGTTGGTCTTTTCGTGTAGACTTTGAAAATTATCACCTAATTAATTACCTAACTATTGCGTCATGAACCAAACTTATATATTTAATATACTTTTATCTAATTAAATTAAAATATGTGAACTTTAATATCTTAATAATATTAATAATAATTAATTATAAAATAAATAATTTATTATAGATACGTAAGTCTTGATTTAATTAGAAACAAGCACTTTAAATATATACAGTTAAGTATACAAATTTTTTCCTTAAATTATTAATCAATTATTACCTGTTTTTTTCCTCCCTTTCTTTTTTACCTGAAGGAAAAACTTCCACTCTTTCGTTTGTTATAAGAAAATAAAATTCTCTTCTGCTCGAAAAACATTTACTTTCGGAAGGGATTAATTTACCCGGTCACATCTCCATTAATATCTTATGATAATTTTCACATCTCGCTGATTTACACAATAAATCGAGTCTAATCTTTTCTAAATGGAAACTATATATATATTCATATGATATTTCCAATTTGCCACAACAAGTTTTCATTGAAAAAATAAATAACTGGTGACTCAAAAAGAAAATAATGCAACACCTTACACCAATCAATATATCATGAAAAATGTGTCTATTTTATTTCACGATGGCCATAAAAAAAGTGGAAAAAAATCTTACATGACTGACACACACATATATACAGTTGTCATTGTTCAGTAACTCAGCTACAGATTTTCGATCTTCAATATTTCCCGAAAAATGTACAAATCACACATACATGTACAGCTGTATATACACAACTGCAAATATTTCCCGGGAATTAAAGTGTACACTAAAAAATGTGCCTCATCTCCAACACAAAATATTACTCAAAACACGCACACAAAAATCAACAAAAAAAAAAATCTACATGTACAACTGACATTAAAAATAATAATGCTTCAAGCACAAGGCCTGGCAATAGAGTCCATGCTCGTCAGACGGCTACGGTTCCTCTCAAGCAACCCTTCCATGATTACCTTCTTCTTATACTCCACCGTATCAAATTCCTCCTCCTCCTTGTACCCCTGTCCCGGAGGGCTGTTTTGCTCGCTCCGGCGAGGCAAGAGATACAACCAAAAGGAGACGCATATGATAGCAAAAACCTTGCCCCATAGAATCAAAATCAACAAACTAGTTATCAAGATTATACACAAAGCCTCAGTCCTGTTATTATTTGGATCCGTTCCTTTTTCCTTGTCCTTGACTTTGGAATTTTCTCGTCGCTTCACTGTGGTAGAGCCAAGTGAAGCTGTGAAAGAAGGAGAAGAAGAAGTTCCTGGAGTTTGAGACGATGAGCTTGAGTTCGTTGACGATGATAACGAAGATCGAGTGAAGAGAGACGAGTTGCTTGATTCTAACGATATTCGGCTACTTTTGCATTCTTGTTTTGAATTCTTGTCAATTTTTTGCTCTAATTTCATGCTGCGACTTGATCTGGAAATTTTACTCTTGCTAGCTGCTTTCCTCCTTTGAATCTTCTTCATCTAAAAGCGACAAAATACGTATTAGTTGCCATCATCCATCGCATGCAAAAACAAGAAAATTTCAGTTCTCTTTTTAATTAATTATAGAACTCAAATTCTAATTAAATTTAATTAATTCTCATGTAATCTGATAAAATTTCAAACAAGAGATCGAAAAGTTAGTATTATAAATTCAAAAACTAAATTAACTAAATAGAAAATTATAAATTCATTGAAACTAAAGAGATAAAAATACAACTTTTTAAAAAAGTTAATAATAATAATAATAATAATATATTTAAGAAAATTCATATACTCCTATCATTTTCTTGCAAGAAAACAAATATCTGGACCAAAATTGGCAATTTGTTTGGCAGATAAAATTAAACTGTGTGATCATTAACTAATTTTTTTTTCTCGCATTGACTGATCAACAAGATAACATAACCCGGGAAGGCAATACGTAATACGTAAGATTGAAAATGCAGGCTTTCATTAAAATTGCAATTTGTCAATTTTAGATATATTTAAAAAACAAAAACTCGACGACTTGTGAACTTCGAAGAAAACTCGTGGAGGCGAAACAGCCGAGGATTTATTTTTTTTTTTTTGAAAAAAACATTGGGCGACCAATTTATTGGTAGAATACGGTTGAGAAGTTATCCTTATATCGTATATGATCATATAAGTAATTGAAATTAAAACAGTGACAGAAAAAAAAAACGACAAATGAAAGCTTGGATTCCTTTTCAAGAAGAGAAATTTTATATTCGTCCAAATAATGCTGAAAAAATTTGTGATTGAGTCTATAAACTGGATTCGAACTGATCAAAATCCAATATAATTACCAGAGATAGAAGGGATTAAGAAATGAAAGAAGAACAGAAAGAACAGAAATTAAAGAAATAACGAAGGATTAATGCAAAGTGTACCAAAGTAGTGTCGTTCAATGCCTTCTTGAGAATCTGCCAGAAACAAGTATCGTCATCGTCGCCTTTCTTCTTGGAGGAGCGGCGCCAACCGCCGGTTCCTTCCCTGCAATCCACCAAGAGCGCCGACGAGAAGAAGGTCGAGAACGTGGCGGGCTCAAAAGCATCATCGTCGACGGAGGAGACCGGTTTAAAACAGAGACATAACTTTGTCTTGAAACTTGCGTTGTGGTTGATCTTGGACCGGTCGGTCTTGGCCTTGGAGGACTCCATGGGAGAAGAGAAAGCGGTTAATCGTGAGGATCAGAGTGAGGAAAACAACGAAAACGATGAGAAAGAATGATCGAGACAAGAACGGTGGGGTGTGTTTTGCGTGGAATGTGGGGAGGGGGAGAGAGAGAGAGAAGAGAGTGGCGTTTGAGGTTTCGCGACTAGCGGTTAAGTCGCTCTTTAACAAGTTTTAATTTAAAACTAAAACACACACCGATAAATAGTGTATTTTTTTGAATATCTAAAGGAGGAGAGTGTTTTTTAAAATTTTTATTTTTAATATCTCTAAAATATTACGTAAACACAATAATATTAATAAATGAGTACTAGTATATCATTCAAGGGTGTAGTATTGATATTGACTAATTTTTTCATTAATTTATACCGTAGTCAAAGAGACAGGATATCGTAGTTAAGAAATCAGAAGGCGCGCGTTTGAATTTTATTTTTTAAATTTATTTTTTATCTGTTGAGATATTTATATATATAAGATAAACACCCACAAATGAACAATACTATATAGCAAAGTTCTCAGTACATCGCACCGCCGTCGCAACCCGCAAAAGAGTCCGCCTTTATAGTACTAGTAAAGTAGTGGACACATTTTCATGCATTTTATATATGATTTTTTTTTTTACCTGAGCATTTTATATATGAAATTTAAAGAGTTAAAGAGTCACACAATTTATAGTTCAAAAACAATATAGGTTGCAGATTTGCAATTATAATTATAATATAATATTATAAATATAATGTCAAAAATCGAGTTAACTTACGTTTAACCTTAAACTAGTAATTCGTTATTTGGGCAAAAAAAAAAAAGTTCATTAAACTACTAAACTAGTATATTGATCAAATCAATAAAATGTTTTTGTTTATAAAGGATTTAATGACGGTTGAAGTGCAGTCTTTACTATTAACTCTTCATGGGTCTAATTTTCTGTAGCTATATCAATGACTTACTTCTCATATAAGGCATCAAGAATCCAAAAGTCAATTTGTAGGTCTGACCGGTTGTCCGAAAAAATATGTAGGTCTGACCGTTGCTACCCGGTAATGTATCTTCACTTGCCTCTCCTGTAAACACATGGAGCTTCAAATAAAAAATTAAACATTTGCACAAACCGATCCGATTCGCCGATGTACATGGTGAAATAGTTGTGCATCATGATTAATATTTAATTAACATGCATCTTCTCATTGAATGAAATTATTCATTATTATTAATAATTATTATATAGTGCATACGTCCCACTGTATAAAATACATGTAGACAAGATCACATATACTAGTAAAATTTATTAAAAATATTTTACAATCTTTTTTCTTTAAATAAAATATAAACTTTTAAAAATATTTTTCATTTAACAGGAAGACAACATCACATATTTTATATTTAATATTTTGTTTGTGAAAAAATATTGGAGAGAGAATGCAATGGGGAGAGTGATATAAAGAATATTACAAATAAAATTTTATTTTTATCAAATTATTTTACATCCTAGATCATTGAATATATTTTAAAAATATCTTCTAATTTGATATAAAAATAGTATTATGAAATGAATTGTCACTTTTGTATTTTTTTATCAATAATTTTGTATTTATATCAACGAAGGACTTGGGGAACTATAATAAATAGGTAATCTTAATACAAGTTAACTGGATAGAAATGACTGGGACTTTAGAATTAGAATTTTAAAAAATATATAGAATGCGATTACATTGTTAGATAACTTTCTCTTTCAATGTTAAATGTTTGATTGAAACTTTTTAGGACAAGGCCATAACTTAAAAAAAAAAATTCTCCAATTTCAAATAATCAAGATCTTTTTTTTTTTTGGACCAAAAACAATCAAGATCTTTTCAATCAATCATTTGATCGTGTTAAGATTACAAAAAATGTACTAGAAAGAAGAAAAATGAACACATTTTTGGATATGATTACTACATGATCCTTCACTTGAAGGATTTACAATCATGATTTATCCCTTAATTAAAAGTGACAAGAACTAATTCTCGCATGAGGTGAGGTGATACACCGTATGCCCCTCTATACCAACATAACAATATGATGACTTTTATATAGGCTTTAGGGTCACAAACTAATTAATGTGGTTAACATCAATCACACCGACACTCTAATATTCCAACACATCCGTTGCAACGAAATAAATAATTATTTTTCAACAGGTTAATTAATTATGATAGCAAAGTCACAATTTATATTGAGACTTGAGTTGAATGGAATGAAAAGCAAAGAGAAAATAGAGAATGAAAAAAACTACGGGAAGAAAATTTTAAAAATAGCAAATTTTGTTTATTATATTTAGGGGTTTTCTCTCCTGATTTTAGTTTCTTTTTATTTTTTCTCCATCCAAACAAAGAACAATAGCTATGCTGATTTATGAGTTGAGATAAAGTAATAATCTAGTGGTGTTTTAGTGTTTTTTTTTTTTTGGGACCTTGAAGTGTTTTAGTCTTTACGCCAAGAAGATATAAACAAATTAAATTAAGTATGGCCCTTAAAAATATAACACATAATAACACCCTATTAAATATTTACATATCTTTGGCCTAAAAAATATTGGGAGAATATTAATGAAATATCTATGAATAAATTTAATTTCTCATGAGAGCATTTGATAAATCAAATACTTGTTGAAACAATAATCTCACTTATTAAATTGTTAATTCTTTCTTGCAAGAAATTCTTTTGAGAAATTAAATTTCTTTGGGAGTACTTTATTGATATCCTCCCAGGATATTTATATATCAACATAAAAAAAAAAACCCCTCTGATTGCACGTTATCTGAAGAGTGTATATAATTAATATTTTTTCAAAAAAAAATCATTCACAAAACTGACAGGAGTTAGTTAATTAATAAGGATTTAATGCATAATTCATAAAATTGTAAATTTAAATTCTCTCAATAACATAAAAAATTTTATTGAGTGATCTATATAATACTTGTGTGTAAGCACCTTATGAAATTGTAAACATGTTCTAATATTAGTGAGTTTTTAAAATCTAATTCTTAAGGTTTGTATAAAAAAGAAAAGAAAAAATCGTTCACATAGTGCAAGTCTTGGGGCCTCAACTTGATCCATTTCCTATCCAGTAGTTTGTGTTATGTATTGAAGATAATAGCTTAGAACATTATATTTAATTTAAATTTTGATGATAACAAATATAGATGAGTTAACTATATGTATATACAGTACCATAATCCTCATACTTATTTTATATATATATTGATACTTGAACTAACTATTTTATTCATGATATATCATTTAAGATTGTCTAACGTAAAGATGAGAGTGGGCATGAAGAGAAAGAAATCAAAAACATCATTAACATGCACACCACGCTCAAAATGAGAGTACATAAAGAGAATGATAATCTAATAAAAGCTTAAAAAGATTGAAGACATTCATATAAACTTGGATACATTTTAAAAGCCTTGGACTTTATGGATATAATATCATTAGATTAAAAGTTTTTATGTTAAACTCATTGATTTAGATATGTCATATTAGCTCAAAATATCTTAAATCAAAATATACATTTTAGCTCTTAAGAAAACAAGTAAGATATACTTTTTTTTATAATCATAACTTACATTCTTTCTTCCCTTAACTCTTTATATTTCCAACAACCTTAATTTATGTTATGTTTTAGCATATAAAATTGAATTTGATATATATATATATGTGTGTGTGTGTGTGTGTGTGTGTGTGTGTGTATAATATAATATACATATCTACATGTTCTTACTCAAACTTTCACTTAAAAATTAATTTTACACATATTAAGCTTGTGAAAATTACTTTAACATTCTTGCAATCAGAGTTTAGAATTTAAATTTATCTAAACTTTTCTTCGTACCTAATTTTACTGAAAAGTTTTTAAAATAATCAAAGATTTTTTAAATACTAAATACACTCTCCTTTTGAGTGTGTTGCTATATCTAATATTTGATATTAGAGTTTGAATTCTTAATCAAAGATTTAACAATCTAAAAATATCATATAGTTAGTTTTGATAATAGCGTTCTTTCTGAGGGTGCCGGCCTATCTGACATTATGCAGAACATTTTCTTTTTTGTTTCTTTAATTCTTTCTTTCTTAATGGAGAACATTTTCTTATTATAATTTTTTTTACCGAATTATAAACATATGGAGGTTAATTTTAGAACAATCAATTCCCAACCTCTAGTTTTCTCTTTGAAATCTTTGCGCGTTGGTTTTATTTTTGGTTTCTTTTGATAGTTTATCTTATATTTTATGATGGATTTTTTCAGGAAAAAAAACATCAATAAGAAAAATGGATAAAAATCGAAGGATCTAGAAGCAGATTGTGGCTTGTTTTAAGATTATTTGATGACCTCCAATACAAGGATATATGTTCCACTCCACCGGTCTCAATTTATAATACACTTTTAGATGAAGTTATATATATCAATAAAGTTTTTAAATATATTTTACAATTTTATTTTTATAAACCAAAAATATAAACTTATAAGAGTGACTTTAATTTAGTACTCTATTTATAAAATAATGTTAAATCAAAAAAATATAATGAGACATGTAATATTAAAAAATTATTAATAAAATTTTATTTTTATCCGAATATTTTCTATTTTGAGATGTTAAATATGTTCAAAACATATCTTATAAAGTGTTATTTAATTTGGGACAAAGATAATAAAATTTTATTTCATTCAACAGCGTGGGCAGGCACTAAAAAAGAAAAAGATAACGTGGAAGGAAAAATACTAAATATATATGTTGTCATATATATATATATATATATAGGGTTAATATGTAATGTGTACTCTCAACTATAAATTTAATGCCGATTGGCGATTTAAACTCTAAACTCATGCTCCCTCCCTTTTTATTGGTAGGAGAAAAAAATTATATCACACGATTTAATAAAAACAATTAACTATATTGATTATGTCTGTAAATAAAAAAATTATACTACAATATCTTCAATAATTGAATTAATTGAGTTTTATTAATTGTCTCTCATGATTATAAATTATAAAATTTTGAGGGATAATTTAAAAAGAATTTATAATAAATGCTTATTGAAAAATATGATTTTACTTATATATAAAAATAAATTAAAAGTGATAAATTTTTTATAAATAAAAATGAAT